AAATCGAATTAAATATTTCAAAAAGAAAGATATTGTTTTTTTTAATAGAATAGTCGTCTTATGATAATGAATTATATTTATAGAAAAAATTCATCTATTTCATTTTCTGTCAATTATTCTGGCGTTTTTATTCAAATCCAGGAAACTTCACGTAGCTTTACAGGAAATGACCTGTAGACTTGAATTCTATTGGTATTACTCATTCTTACCTAGAAATTCATTTTCTACAAGCGAATTGTAAAGTTAAAAATAATACATCACTGTAGGTGATTAGTCTAAACACAATTATTGTCTTATGTCACACTTCGACCTTTTAATCTTTATGAAAAGAAAAACTAATCATCATCAAATAATTGTTTTTAATTAAGGTAATGGTACAATTGATTTTCCCGAATTTCTCACAATGATGGCTCGTAAAATGAAAGATACTGATAGTGAAGAAGAAATTCGTGAAGCATTCCGTGTATTTGACAAAGATGGAAATGGATTTATTTCAGCAGCTGAACTACGGTAAAAAAAAACAAAAGTGTTTTTTGTTGCAAATTTTTTTTTTTCATACTATTTGTATTTATAGTCATGTGATGACAAATTTAGGTGAAAAATTGACGGATGAAGAAGTTGATGAGATGATACGTGAAGCAGATATTGATGGAGGTATGAAAAAAAAAAACAAACTAAATTGTTTTAATTTTTTTGTGTAAAATACTAAATTTATATTTTAGATGGTCAAGTTAATTATGAAGAATTCGTTACAATGATGACATCAAAATAATAATGACCAAATGAACGTATCATTCAACATTACTTAAATTTCTTTTTTTTGTTTTGTTTTGTTTTTTTTTTGTCATCGTTGTTGTACGCGTGTATGCTATTTTTTTTTTCTCGTTTGTTTCTTTTATTCTACGATCTATTCTCTTTTCTTTTTTTTCAAGAACTATTTACTATTTAACACAAATAAACACCAGTCTTTTTCTTTTGTCGCAAAAACACAACACACACACACACACACATACACATCCTCAAATCAAATTCTAATTTCATTTATTTTCCAAAAAACAAAAACAGTGTCAACTTTCTTTTTTCGTTTTCTTAATTTCTTTTTCCATCATTTATATATCCAATTGCTCAGCGAAAGATCCATTCATCATACATAAGAACATCTACTGTTGTTTTTTTTTTTTTTTTTTTTTTGGGATACTAGTAGAGTTCTCATATTAGCAAACGCATATAATTAGATGTAATTTGTAGACATAAAATATTCATACACAACTTTAACTATGTATATGTTGGTATGTCAAAAAGAAAAAAAAAAAAGAAGAGAGCGAGAGAAAGAATGAATGATGACACAAATATATTAGTTGTATTTTTGATGTTAACTTGTTTTTTTTCGTAATTATGTGCATGTGTGTGTATAGTTTTTGCTCGCTCTCATCACAATCACCCTCTATCTTGATATCCATTTTTCTTTCTCTTTCTTTTTTTTTCATTTCATAAAAACAAAAGAAAATAAAAAAAAATGACGTTTAATGAATCATTGTTTCATATTGAAAAAAAAAAGAAAGTTGAATATTTGTTTACTGCTTTCATATATATATATCCGATAACAAGTATGAAAACTCTTCGTGTATTTGTTCTCGTTTTGACAAATCTAGAGAACATTGTGTACTTGTAAGACAAAGAGAGAATAGACTAAAAAAAAAAAAAAAAACTTTAATAATTCTTTTTTGTCGATCCGTCAAATATGACGACGACGATGGCAAGAATTTCAGCGTCGTCAGTCGTTGTTCGACCGCCTAGTAAAGAAAAGAAAGAAGAAAATATGGAATGATCAAAGAGAAGAATATATGAGCTTGAAGCAGAAAAAAAAAACGAAGGAGAAAAAGAAAGTGTGTAGAGAGAGCTTCAATTCGCTTGACACGTCTCATTTTGCCATTATAACCATAAACAGGCAGCAACTATTCAGTAAAGTGACCTAACACAATGACAAGCAATGAAGCAGTAAGTATTTTTTTTTTTTTGCATTACAGAAGAGTTGATTTCATATCTATGATTAGGAAAAAACAATTAATTCTTCTATAAATAATACAAATGGTAAGTGATTCATTTTTATAAATTATATTTATATTGATTATTTATTAGATACACCATTAAAATCAATAGTCGAAACGCCATTAACTGAATCACTTATAAATGACCTTTTTCATCAACAAAATAATGTAAATTATATTTTTTTTTGTTTTTGTTTTATTATTATTTTTTTTTTTAAAGGATGGTTCTTTTCCAGCAACAGAAAAATTTGGTAAATTATTCAATGTTAATTTTGAACTAATTAAAAATCAATTAAAAGACAAAGGCTTAGAATCCTCAAGTAAATAAATAAATCAATAGATGTTTTTTTTTTTTTATTTGATTTCATTTATTTTCTTTAGTTTCCGATGAAATTCATCGACTTATATCAACAGCTTCCATTCTTTTTTATTTTTTATATCATAGTCAAAAAACAAAATTTCCTGTTGATATTACTACTATTAATCAATTTGTAACAAATGCACGTTCCGAATTAGAAGGTGTAAGTATCAAACGAAAAAAACAAAAAAACAAACTTTCGTTTTAACATTTCTTTTTTATTAGCTTTCACTTAAAGATGATCCAATTATTCAAACATATGTTGATAAAGGTGAATTAGCTGTGAAATTTGTTATTGATACACGTGAAAAATATGCTAATATTTGTCATGATTTAAAATTACCTCAAAATAATTGGGAATTATATATTCAACATTTAATGGATTTAGATAAACAAAAATAAACAATATTCGCTGTTTTTTTTTTGTTCTAAAAGAAAGAAAAAAAACTTTCATACTCTTATATTATATTTATGAATAAAATTAACGGGAAAAACAAACAATCATTTTTTTTTTTGTTCTAAAATATTGACGAAATTAAATAAATATGATCATATAGGAAAATAAAATAAATCATAGATTGAAAGATTAAATGATATTAATAGAATAAGTTGACATGTATATGTTGATAAGAATAATAATCGAATTTTTTTTTTTCAATGAAGATAAATTAAAATTCCAAGCTTATTATTTGAACTTTAAGAGACTATTAATCATAATCACATAATGAATAGTGTTATCTTCAGTGGCGTGTCAAGTCATGAGCAATTGACTACGGCTCGAAAAGTTACTGTTTATGGGTTTTTTGAAAGTAGTAACTATTGTCCATTCCTCAAAATGGTTTGACCGGCAAATTGCCCGCAAATAAAAAATTCCTGGCTACATCACTAGTTATCTTTATTAATTAACTAGCGAAAGCCCGTGCATACTGTACGAATGCTTTTTTCCTGTAAAGTTTCACATCTGTCCTTTAGCCATGATTCGGTAATAGAGAATCAGACAGTTCGCATTATTAAGAGTGTCACGTAAGTTCTGATCTTCTCATCAAATATTTGTTTTGTCTTACACGTTTCTACATTCGAAGAGACTCCTAATAGCCCTTGAAGACCTATGGGTACTCTCATATAATAGCCCTTCAGGATCTATGGGTATCCTCATATAACAGCTCTTGAGCGCCTATGGATACCTCCATATAATAGGACTTGAGAACCTAAGGGTACCTCTATACAATAGGACTTGAGAACTCAAGGGTATATTCATATGATAGTTCTTGAGGACCTATGGGTATCCCAATATAGCAGCACTTATAGCCTTCCCCGTATACCCTTATTTGACCTTTGGCCTGGGTACAGAGACGACAGACAGACACTGAACACCATATATATATAGATTAATTTTATTCTCATTTTATTAGAAGTATCATATTTCTATCATTTTATTAATGAACTCTTCTTTCATTTTAATGTAAGTTACAAGTTTCTTTTTTTTTTATTCTCGGCAAATAAATTCTTTTACTTTTCAAAATGTTCATACGACTTATTTATACTTTATGCCTTGTTATAAAATATGATGTTTGTTGAAGTTTTTGCTTACACAAATTTCACAATCCGCCAGTATTTTACACATTATGGAGGCCAAGGAAACGGTGCCTCTTCGATGATCGGCTTGAACTTCTAGAAGTTTATGATTATAGTACTACATATAATAGCTGTTCGTTCTCCGAAAGAAAAAGATCTGTCCAAAATACGAATATTTCATTCAACACAATACACATCAAACATTATTAATCAAGTCACACTCTGAGATAACTCTCTTATAGGTTTTCATTATAAGAAAAAAAAACAAATTAATAATGCAAGTTTTCTCTATGTGTAGGGAACTGTGGGTCCACGTTTTAGTGGATCCGAACAAAGTTTAAAATTTGGACCCGACCAGGTCGTGGTTCAAAGCCGAGGTTTTTTCCATCAATACCAGGCGCGCTTCGTGTTCATGAATAAGTGAACGATCAAGATTTTAGCTATTTATTCGCTATTTTCAGAAAAAAATTCAACGTAAAGTTATATATTGTTGCTGGATTTCTCATATGGGAAGCAGCGAGTTCACAAAAACGTGTAACCGGACTCAGCAAAAAAAGTAAAAGATTGAACCTGGACCCTGAGCTCTCTATTTCTATGTGAAATATCGAGAGGACCCGTCATTTTTCCTGTTTGTAGAATATTGTCTTATCTTAAAATATAATTCATTTCTTTCATCGGATTAAAAAAATCATTCATTTAAGCCTTTAGATTTTCAATTTATGTTTATTACGATGATTTGACTTTATCAGATCAAAAACAAAAAAAAAAAGCACACAAAGAAATTAAACATCACATGTTGTGCATTGTCCATTAAACAAAAACAGGAAATTAATATTATCCTAAACAAAAATTCCGACAAACAATAATTTTTAAATGCCATTATAAAATTGATATTTTGATTCTTGATTTAATAAAGTTCGTACGACTAAAAAAGATTAAATTAAAATAATCATAAATAGAATTAAAAAAAAAAAAAAGAAAAATTTCAAATTTACTTTTACGTTGTTCATCATTAAGTTCATCTTTTGGAAAATCAACATCAATTGTAACATAAAGATCACCAACAAGTGTATTTTGATCATGTTGTGGAAGACCTTCACCTTTTTTCTTAATACGAGCACCTGGCCATGTTATTTTTTCACGTTTAATTATTACCTATAGAAAAGATTTATTGAATTTAAATTAACTAAAAAATTAATATCGCACTTGATGTCCATCAAGATGAGAAAATGATA